AGTGGCAAACAAGAGAGGAGGCACTGCTTTCTGTGTAGCATATAGAACCACGTACAACTGACTCCAAACCTGAGGCCAGACACGGAAGGGAAATCCGCAGGAAGCTGTTTCCCAGCTCCCAAAGTCAATCTCGTGGTGAGAAGTTAAAAGCACAGCCAGCAACGTTTCCTTCACCAGTCCCTCCCATACACACCGCACGTGTGTGGAGGAAAGGTGGCATGCACCAAAAACCAGTAACACCTCCCATATACCAGAGGAAATGAATGCTCACACTTTGTGTAGTTCTTCTGCCAGGACTGAAGCTGACGTCTGCAGGAGAAAAAAAAAAAGAAAAAGAAAAAAATAGCTGAAAGTAAAGCAAGTCAAAGAATCGTCGTCCACTCTGAGCCAGGAATAGCATTTGTAAGATTTCATGTAGTTCTTTTAAATTGGCACGGGACATTTCCAACTACTTCCTGGCTAAGGAACATTGAAGGAATACCAGCACATACTAATGTCCCTTCCCCTTTGGCCTAAGGCAATGTGAAGGGAAAAAGTGAACCAACTTATTTGCCCTTTACCAGATTAAAAAAAAGCCACGGGCATCACCAGCACTTGTCTCCCAAGGATTAAGTGCTTTATGAGACATTCTGCTGACGAACCACTCAAATTTAAAAAAGAAAACCCTGCACAGTGCATCAGGACTTTGATAGGAACAGAAACAGCAATATAAAAATCAGAAAGTGGCATTTTCTTCCTCCCTGGAAAAATCCTATTCCTGTGTGGTTACCCACAAAAGGGCAGGGGATCCCTATCACACTGGTCATCAAGGCATGGAGGGATCTCTGCAGCCTGTTTCACATCCAGTTTGGTAGCAGCTGTGGCAGAACTTCCATGTTCATTTGTGCTTCAGATACATGGTTCTCCTTATCCAGCCTTACCCTCCCCCAGAATCCCAGATCTCACGGAGCCTGTGCCCACGAGACTGTATAGCAATTCCTATACTGCCTCATCCAGATCACAGAACAGAGAACAGCATTAGAGGGGAAAAAAAAAAAAAAATTCAAAGGGAACAAATATTTCCAGTCCCAGAGGGTCATCTTAATGACCAAAACAGTTTCCTCAACCCTCACGTCCAGAGCAGTACCCAGTCCAACCTCACTTCCCCGAAGTGTTATTTTCACATCCAGTGTCCACAGTGAAAAATTCAGCCCTGTGTTCCAATGGTCAGTGGGGCTACACAGGGAAAACACACACCTCCTTCAACAGCCTCCTCCTTGGGTAACCCAAAGCTAAAAAATAAAATTTCCCTAGGGATTTATTTTCAAAGCCCTCTTAAAGGGCTGGGATGAGAAGAGTAGGTCACGAAGATGCAGAGTGCCTCTTCCTTTGCTACTCTCCCCACTTCAACCCAAACCAGAGGACATATTTTCAGTCTGATGTCAAATTTAATCAAATTACATGGAGCACATCCATGATTAAAACCACAGCACCCAACTGCACAGGAACAATCTCCCCTTGTGCCCACAGAAGTTGCAGCCTCTCTGAGCTGGTTTCTGTGACCCAGCTCTACATGGAAGCAGCTTCAGTGACCCTGAGGTTTTACATAGTGTTTACAAAACAGAAAACATTTCTGAAAGAAAGTAGTCAAACTAAAATTTTAGAGATTAAAAGAATTGAGAAAGGCATTGTGCAGGTTTGGTGGGGTTTTGGTGTGTGGTGGTTTTTCTTTTTTTCCTTCCGCACAGAAACGACCACTGGAACAAACAGAGCTTTATATGGGAGCTACCACAAGACACTGTTTCCCAACCTGATGTACAAGAAAACAGCATCATCAGGTGGTTCACAGGAGGACTTCAAAAAGACCAAGAACCACAAGACAGAATTATACACATGCAAAGCTACAGAAAACAAACATTCAGAAGGGTATTCTACCCTTTGGTTATAAACGAAAGGCACTACAGGAGGAAATAAGTGGATTTTTTTTCCCCCAAAAAGGACAGCAGAGGCTTAAGTTTTAAACCAGTTTGAGAAACATTAGAAAAGAGGATGCTAAACGAGTCTTTGCTTTCAGCATTACGTATCTCATATCCAGCTACAAAAATAAAATCTGACTTTCGTTAAAAAGTTCACAATTCAAAAGGAAGTCTGAGAACATGCTGTACCTGGGCTGCCATTTGTGAATGAAACTTCTGAAGCTGAGCATTCAAAGCATCATTCTGCTCTATCAGCTCCTTGTAAGAGAGCACAGAAAGAAAAGCAGGCTGAGATCAGCAGCTAGTCAACTTTTGCTAGGATTAGCTCTTAGCCATGATTACGTTAGTAAGAACAGTTTAGCATTTACATGATAGACACTTTTCAAAGACGCTATTTTTCTCCCCAGTAAGATCAACCAATTTGAATGGAAGCGTAAGAACCTGTTCTGTATCAAGAGAAAAATATTCCCTGCCCCACCATATGCCACTTGGTTTCCCTGAAGCCCTCAAGAGCTATGTCCACACTGCCTCTCACCGTTTGATGCCTAGAGAAGAGAGATCACTCCAGAAGAGCTCACACAAGCAAAGGTACATGGCTGCTCTTCCAGAGTGTTCCCCAGACCACAGTTTCATTTCACAGCTTGGGAAAATGCCTGGCTGGGCACATTTTCCTGACTTGCCCAGAGCACTTCTCAGGTCTGAGATAGCCCCAGAAAAGGTCTCACTTCCTAAGCTGCCGGATGATAGACTGGCACACAATTTTCTCATTCTTTATTCAGTGGGAAAGCTTTTAGCTAAAGCGGCATTTCAAAAGGTATTACTGTGTTTCCATAGAGCACAAAGCAGGTGGGGAAAAAACCCAAACCCTTAAGATACTTGAGCAATACTACCTGCACCTGCATTTGCATGGAGTCCTCCGCAGTAGCTCTCTTTTGCTCAGCCTCCATTAACTGCAACATCCTCTGCTCCAGCTGCTGTTTTGACACCATTGTATCAGTAAGTTTACTGTGCAAGCTCTGGATTTCATTGTCTTTGGCCACAAGCTTGTTCTGCACATCTGTAGCAGAAATGTCAGGATTTTAATTCAGAAGTAAATATTTAACTTTGAGGGAAATAACTTTCACTGTAAACAAGGAGGCTGATTAAAAGCCTCGTTCCAGCAAGCCAAGGCTCAGCGCTCTCATCAGCATTCGAAGTAACCAATATCACAACATATTCTTTCCCCAGAGTGCTGAAGCAGTACTGACTTCACCTGAGCTTTATTTAAGTCAGCAACACCCTAATTCACAAATGGCAACAGCCAAATCACTGCAGTTAGTGTTATTTGGGAATTCTGTGTTACGTGGGAATTTTGTGATACATGCCTTGTTGCGCTGCTTCGTGTTCTGCTGTTCTTTTCCTGAGATAAGCCTGGATTTCTTCCCATCTTCTCTCTGCTTCCTGCTGCTGGACCTTCACATAGAAGAAAGAGTTGATGAAAGGAAGTCTAACCTTTAATTTATTTTTTTGAAACGTTCAGAGTGCATCTCTTCAGAGCTATTCCCCAAACATATGGCAATGAAGTAAAATTGTTTCTTGTTTCCATTAGGGCACATCAGAGAGACAGAGTGCCCTGTAATCCTCCTCCTACAGCAGTTTAGCCTATTAATTTGAAAGGCAAATTGTGAACAGGATTTCATTATAGGCTCTTAACAGAATGGTTTCTGTAGTATGAATGCGTAGCATCATCTTTGCCCTGCAAGTTCAGAATTAACACTAGAAGCCAGACTAGCCATGCATCACATAAATCTGCACCTAGTAATTAAAACATGTCTCAGCCCTAGATACCAGCTCTCCACTTGCAAGAGCTAGAGGCAGGGAGAACTTCTGGTAACTAAGATTTAATTGCAAACATGAAAAGAGTAATGAGCAGCCTCACACAAAACCACTACATTTCTTTTCTGAAAAAGTGTTAATACAAAAGACCTTTTCTTCCAAAGAAAAGGGAAGAGATGCATCCAGAAGCTAGTCCATTTACATTTTACCTCAAAAATACCGTATTTATTTAAAAATTTAAACACACATTGAAGTAAAAGCATGCAGTTTCAAATAAAAGTCACAGGGACAGTGCCATCTGGATGAACTACTCCAAAATATCAAATATTGCTGGAATTGCACACTCACAGAAAACCAAGTTCAATATCACCAATTAAGCTTTTTAAAAATGTTTACCTGGAAGGATAAGATCCACCTCATAGGGAAGTTTGTAATCACTCAAAATACAGAGTATTGGATAAAAACATTAAATTTCTGCGGAGATCCACTTCAGAGCAGGTAAGACTGCGACTGGGGAGAGCTACTGCAGGAAAAAGCCGAAGAAAAGCTCTTTTCTAGGGCTTTTCTGGAAGCATTTTCTAGCCGGGACCAGATCTGCCGCTGTTGGGGGCGGTGCCGGCGTAG